TTCACACTTTCGAGGCTGCTGTCCGGTGCGCGGCTGGTCAATACGATCAAAAACACAGTACTTCTAAAAGCCTTGCACCAAAAAGTACACGCTTCAAAGGGCACAACGTTGGCACCGACAACACTACAAATTGACTTCCGTGCTTTTGAAGCATTTTTACTTGTCCAAATTCGCATCCAATGCAGTGCCGTCGAATGTGCTGTTTATCAGTTGCCACCGTAAACTCGGTTATTCTGACTTGCAGTCTTGTCCTGAAACCTTGCGTCCGATCCTCTCAAAACCACAAACGACCGTGAAAATATTTCGATTTTAAGCTCAAATTGAAAAAAAGAGACGTACAGGTTAAATCATACACCCAATATATCCGCTTGAGGTAGTAAAGACAATTTAAAAAGGATTGTAACAGATATTTTGAGCAACCTACACAGAAACGTTAGCAAGAAGTGGAAAGTAACTACGGAGAGTGCCCTATTGATCAGAATACATTTTACCATCATCCATGCAATGAATAGTTTTAAGCAAGCCGCAACTAAGTGTTCCTCAAACCAATACACACACCCAGATACCAGCACCCAACCAAAGAGCTTACACAACAAACTTGGGTAACTACAAGCCAAATCTATAACCCCTGCCTTCTACCCAAATAGTCAAGTTAGATTATTCCGGCCTCAGAGTGTCAAACGACCGTGAAAATATTTCGTTTTTTAATTAATTCAAGCTCTAAGGAAAAAAAATTGCACAAATTAAGACAAGCACCTAGTAAAACAACTGGCTACTCTCGCAGTCGGCTTACAATATGATTCAACAGTGCAGATAAGGACGAAAAGAAGAATCGTTAGAAAGGCCCAGCTATTAGAAGATTCTAAGCACATCACCTGGGACGATTCCTGCCTTCCGTGGAGCATGCACTATCACACAACCACAATCCCTCCGATCTGCGATTTTGCAACGCGCTGTTTTTATGGGTTCTCGGCCAATCGAGTGGCCTTTTTGTTGATCAAGTGACTCTGCTGCTCCTCTCAACTTACTGGCCGCACTTGCTGGTACAGCAAGAAACTAGTCACATGGAACCTCAACGCGAATGTAGCGATGCATACAAAAAAAGGCCTGCACTTCGGTCACCTGATACCGGCAGATGACCTTGAAGAGCTGCAGCAAGCACGAACGCCTGCTACACAAAAATTCATCTCAGCCACAGTTCAAAGCCACCAATCAACCGCGCAGATTTGTCGGCTAAGTTAGTGACAGCCTGGTTGAATTGAATAAACTAATCAAAACTACGAGACGCAGGCTCAAAAGCCAATTCGTGTGGGAGGCGCCTTAAAAAAGCCTCCACTCTGGTTACCCACAAAAAGAGGCAAAAAACCCCAACGACACAGGCACGCATTCCCAGGGCGCATTCAACTACCCGATTTCAATACTCCCAAAAGCACCAGTCAAATTACTTCAAAAGAAAGATGAGCAGTGGAAAGGAGTGTAGTCTGTTTTCGGATTTAAAAAAGACCAAAGTTTCAAATTAACAAATTTTACCTATCACTAAAATATGCCGAAAATGTATTTTTTTTTGTGAACACCCCTACGATGGCCACAGCGGTAGCGTGTAAAAATCTTACTCGTTTTGTGGGAGTTTCGAAAGCCGTCTGGGCGATGTCCATGGTGATGCCACGGTTGCGCTCCTCGGTGGTTTGATCGAGCACCCACGCGTAGGCGAACGAGGCCTTGCCGATCTTCTGAGCTTCCCACTGGTATTTGGCTATTTGCTTCTCACTTACTTGTCCCAGTTGATACAAAACATTACCCATAAGAGTGCTCTTGCCCGCATCCACGTGACCTGATAGGGAGTAAATTAAGCCTCTTCAATGACTAGTCCGTGTTGCCGATGCATACTACCTTAGCGGGACAGACAACACGATGGTCCTCAAATAAACACATATATAAGCTTCGATTCTCTGATTGAATTCTAAATATTTGAACGAAGCCACAGCTAGCTTTAATTAAACGAGAAAAAGTGCGGACCATATGTGAACTGAACGATCGAACTGCGTAGGCAAGTTAAGCGGAAAATCGGTAATAATTTACAGCTGTAACCCCTTTTCAATTGGCCACATTGAGATCAACTTTTGACGACTATTGTCAATCAAGTTATTAGGTTAATTTTAGAGAAAAAATGCAGTCTGTAAAATGACAAAGCTACGGATGTCACAATCCATAATGTGCTACCTACCTGGCATATTACATATGCGTCGAATAAAAGTAAGGGGAAGAATGACCATACGTACCGACGACTAGTAAGTTTATAGTGTCCTTTTCCTTTCCCGACTTCACTTTTTCTTCGTATGCATTTAAGAGGGGAGTGCGATCGATTGGTTTATTGGGTACCGATGGGATTCGAGCTTCACTGGGCGCCTTTGAAGCTATATTAGTGTGGGTCTTCTCATCCAAGACGGGATCCACAAGATCAAGGTGAGAGAGCACTGTAGTTACGGACTCTGAAGCACCATCGACAACCCTATCCTTCCCATGTTCTGTGAATAAAAAATGTAGCATAATTCTGGCGGATTCTGTGGCGGAGGGAATATTGGATACAGTGTAGAAAAGCACGCCACGTACTAGGATGTGTGGCTCTAGTCCGGGGTCTGGGTAAACCATCCGACCGTTTTGTCACGGCAGACACTTCGATCGTACTATCAAACAAAACAGGTGCCGGTGTGTCGAACCGGAAAGATTGGGGACATTTACTGGGTGGGGGATAATGAAGGAACAACGACGGCCTACACCGCCGTAAAGTTATCATCAAGTCAATGAAATGCTGAGTGTGTTGGGGCACAATTACACGATTCAGTTTGTAAGAAAAAAAGGATGCCAGAGCTGATACATGTTTAACATGAGAGGAAGAAGATGAAACGTTCAATTTTTGTTGAGAGTCGGGGTCAAAATTTATTTGCTTATGCATTTTGCATGGTCGAGTAAACGAGACAGAGAAAGCTGATCTCGGGGCTAAGGGAGTAAATGATGATGGACCTGACGACTGGGGTTTTACGGTTACATTGTCAGTTAGGTTGGCTAGAGAACTAAAATCAACTTCATTTGCAACAGTATCCCATTCTGAACAAGATTCAAACGGTTGGAAGCTAAGTGCTGTTGATTCCTGACCGCCTTAGAGTGTTATTTCAGACAAAAATCAGCGTACCTTCGTATGGTTGACCACCACCTTCAACCATCAAGTCGTCAAACTGCAACTCTACAGCCTCGTCACTTTTGTCAACTTTCCCATTTTCTAGAAATATCAAACAAAATGCCGACACACCAACCTATATCGTCATTTTCTGGAAATTCTGAAGCCGATATGTTCAGTGATCCGTTAAGTTGAGGCATGAAAAAGTCCATTCTACGAGATGGGTTAGATGGGTCATGAATGAATTGATGCACTAAGAAATAGAACGAAATTCTGGGCAAACTTGTATTTGGAGATAGGCCATAGTCATCCTCCACAGAACTCGGAACTAAATCATTGTAGTCATTGTAATCTACAATTGAATTAACCGCACTAAACACAATTTTGTACCATCAGAATACAGGCGCCTCACATTCCGATGTCGTGACATTTCCGCCAATCACACTGCATAAAACGCACATGATCAGGAATAGTTAAAACAATAAGAGGACGTATTTATCATTTACCTTCCTGTAACTAGATGCCGCGATTACATTATTAAGGGTACGTAAAAGGTAAGCTCAAATTAATTCTGCGTTTTTTGAATTTGTAGGCAGTGAGTTAAAATTAAATAGAAAAATATTGATAACTGAATATGATTATACTTTAGTGCAACTGCTATTTTAAAAGCTAATTTAAAAAGGACTGCAACATGTCAAAGGTAGAATCAGCGCTTGAAAACGTTTTAAAAAACACCCACTATCGCCACATGTAGCCAAGAAATGTCTTAGGTCGGCAATAATTATGTTTCTCTTAATGATTTTTCGTGTTAAACTATTTAATTTGGCGTCAAAAACTAAAATTATCTATGGTTATGCCAGTGGATTACCTTCCTCCAACACACTTCGTAGGACTGTTCAGAAATTATTCTTGGCCGAATCATTTTAAAAGCTAGCTCACGTGCATGCTAATAGCAGTAATACGTATTTAGAGTGAGATTAGTTGAACGAATCGTGAATCGTTTATTAAAAATATCCGAATGCAAGGCATGAGACAAAATGAACAAAAGGACCAGTGTGCAAATGACAAATTCTGTTTGAATGATATGCCCTGGGTTACGAAGCCAACGAAAGACATGCGCTTTGGCTTAATAATATACATTGGAAAGATTAGCTTGATGAGACGGAGATGCAGAGTTTTTCGCTATGTCAAAATAGTGTGATGGTGTTAAAAAAAGCATTATATATATTGAAAAGTATCAAATGTCAGTGTTGTTAAGCCATTTTTATTTGACTCTTTCTAAAACATAGAGGGTTCAAGGGCGCCAAAAGGGTTCTGATCAAAATATCCGATGCCTTCCCCTCTTATATCAAATAGATTTGTAGTTTTGATGACATAATATTGAACATTCTACATTTCTACACAATCTAACGAGCGTGTTTTAATTGCAATGTAGACTTACCGTAATCCCTCGGTCTTGTGGAACGGTCACTTGTTAAATTTGAACCCAAACATCTTGATTTAAATACTTATGTTTACAGTTTAAAGAAAACAAATTCAAGTTTGTCTGGTTGCATGTCTCTGCCTTTGCTGAGTGAACTATTTTGGAGTAAATATTCTCATGGTATATAATTTGTGATTAATGTTAAGATAATTAAGCCAAAAAATCAAGCAACAGTTTAACTTTAAGAAGATTTACTTTATTGTCTAACGTAATAGAAATGCTTTATTTTACAGGTCAGTGACATCAGTTCAATTTACGTGCATTTCTTGGGTAAATGTTGTTTTGTCAGCTTCTTAAACACACATAGAGTAAAGTGAAAATAACAATTTATTTCAGATTCATACCTAAAAATGGATATCTGCAACAGACTTACAATTACTTCATTTGTAATATTCATTATGATTTATGATTTATTCTTTATTTATATCGATTTCTTTCAATGCTCTCAGTTTGCAATCACGGGACAGGTTGCCTCATGCTGCAACACGAATTGAAATAGGCAATGATGGATGCAACAAAAACGTTTTTTTGTTAAATTATAGTAGGTTTATTCGTCAACTTAAAAGCCACGATTTTATTCAAATGTATTCTCTTTTATAATTAATATTGTCGAATTAGGCCCTCATTTTTCACAAGTGCACTCGAGTATAATGCGATAGCGTTCGGAATAAGAGATTGATAACTTTGGGCTGTCGAAAATTGTAATCATGGGGCTCAAAAGGCTGCAAAAGAAATGCTTGAATATGAACTTGTGTACAAGTTAAATCTGGCAAAGTATAAGAATTTTAAATTTGATCGAAAGACATGTCAATCCTTCTTGGCACAACAAATCCAACCTAACGATTTCAATTAGTCACGAAAGGTGCTAAAAGCTATTTAGCGCCTTAATAGCTGAAAATAAATTTATTTAATATGGATGAAGAGGAAATCGTGAAAAAAAGATTTGGACAAGTCTCTTTGATGGGCGCAGCCGTAGGCTTCCCGCTTGAGTCGATGGTGCATCAGAAGTAAGCAAATCAGTCTAAAAACGCAAGCTGTACAGCTGTTCTAATTATTAGAATCATTCGAGTGGAATTAGCACGGGGCCGAATTGACACAGTATTTTTCCTCGTGATTCGGTTGACTTCTCAAAGAGTGAAAGTAAAAAGCTAATATTTGTAATTTTAGTATGTCGTTAGAATTTTTTATTAAGTTTTGCAATAAAAAAAATGCACACCTTTTTAGATATAAATTGGATAGACGATTTTTTAAATTTACCAATAATAGCCATCGAGGTTGAACCGCAATTTTCAAGCTAGAATTGTTGAACATTTCTATCATGCCTTCGGTCAAGATCGGGGCTATTGACATCGAGTTTCCTTACGAGCCATATGATTGTCAAAAGAAATATATGGAGAGCGTTATTGCGTCTCTAGTGCAGGTTCGATTGCAAATGCTTGTTCGTTGTTTGATTTAATAAAATACGTTGTAAATACGTCTACATGACATTTATGGGGGATACTTTCATTAATTTTTAATCTTCTTAAAATAATTTTTTTACATAATAGCACTTATATGGCCGTAAAGGCCATCTTTGGCCTGCTTGCGCTTTTTGCATCTGTTTGAAATTTCTAACTCTTGATTATTATTATTATTAAAATAATTTAAAAATCCAATCTAGATTGAAATAGTTTTGTATATGAATGAGTAAACTTCCAGTTTGTGGCGTAAAATTTTGGTATATTTTCTTAACTTGGTAATAATAACTAAGTGTCAGGTTTTTTCAAACGTATTGTCCCATGATAATTATAATTTTGTTTAATATCTACTAAAATTTCATCCCGTATTCTTGTGCTATATTAACTTATTAGTGGCTACTTAAACGGAGGTTGTGTTAATTAAAAAAAAGCCCTTTCAGTCACGACTTAATGTAAAATGGAACTATTGCAGGCGAACATTCCTATTTTACCCTCTCGCCAGGTCTGCAATTCCGCACAAACTTTGTAGCCATTTTGTTCGTACATATAATGGATCGGCTTTTCTTATCGTCGGAAAGTACTTTTAGACCGTCGCTGTTTTAAGTGACACTGGTGGTCATTCCATACTGGGTTTATTTGGTAAAAAGGGGGCCTTAATGAGACTGGAATCTAGTATGCGACATTTTAAGTCATCAGTAAAAAAAACTTTCCGCATTCTCTACAAATCGAAGAAAGTATTTGTGAATTCATAAATATTACATTGGTGGGAGCAGTAGTAATCGTGGTCGATGCGAATTGTGTTGGTAATACCGGGATGATCTCTAATCTAAAGATGCCAATGACCCAATTAGGTTGTTAGCTGACTTGCATTTGCAATAAGATAGCCTGAAAAAACACTCTGTGTTCTTTTGCTAATACGCATTTTGTTTCAAAAGCGTCAGCATGCGATTCTGGAATCTCCAACTGGAACAGGGAAGACGCTTTGTCTTCTTTGTGCCTCGCTTGGTTGGTTAGAGTACTCCCTTGCTCAGCAGCAGTTGAAACAATTGGAGCAGCCTTGGGATGGCAGAAACGATAGTGCGCCGCCCAGTTGTTCGAGTAAATTCGACGCCCCTTTGATTATCTTCTCCTCGCGGACGCACGCACAGCTTAATCAAGCCATACAGGCTTTCAAAAATACCGCCTATTCCAGGTGCGTCTACCTTTTTGGCTATGAATTATGTATTTGACTTATGTATGTATGTGGCGTATATGCTTAGTTGATTTGGAATTACTAGATGTAGAATGTTATTAAAGCTTCCCATTAGACTTTGTCAGTTGATTCCATAAGATCAAGGTTTCGCTTTATTTTAGCCACAAAATCGGCGTTTTAGGTTCTCGCGACCAGCTCTGTTCGCTACCCGAAGTCATCAATTTGGAAACCAACTCAGCAAAAGTCTACCAGTGTCGACTTCGTGTGTCCACCCGAACCTGCGAATACTACCGCAACTTTGATGGTGTGTGTGTGTTATTCTTTGGCGAGCAAGATTACATTAGTGACATCCACATGGACTGAAATCACATCTACCTCTCATACTCTATAAAATTTGTTTTCTTTTGTTGCAACATGTTGGGACTTATTCTCAGCCGTAGCGTACTAGTGAAGCCTTCAAAAGATCATCAAATCGCTTTTTCGACACTTTAAGGTCTAGTCACTAATGTGTGCCTACTCACTCGGTGGGGTCGTGTGCGGTGTGTTGTCCATTGCGGTACCTGCGTGTGTGTGTGTGTGTGATTTTAAACGCTTGCATTATTTTGGCAGCAAACAGAGAGAAACTGTTGGACACAATGAAGACCTCAAAAATAACCGATATCGAGGACCTGGCGAAGTTTGGTCGAGAACACCGGTACTTTTTTTTATGTCTTATTTCGTTTCGCAGTTACTAATCGTGTTAACAAAAAAATATGCATGCCTTTAGTGCCTGCGCGTACTACTTGTCACGGGAGGCAAAGGTCGATGCTGAGGTTCTTTTCATGCCCTACAATTACCTCCTCGACGTGAAAGTGGGCTGCGTTAGAAGTTTTTTTTAACCAACTCACTAATTTCCATTCGTGTTAATCCATTACTGTGTCTCGTGCAGATCCGAACTTTGTATGGAATCGAATTGACGAATGCAGTTGTTATTTTCGACGAGGCTCATAACATCGTAAGTCATCAGTGCTTCGCTACTCCCCGCCTCCTATTTGCGAAATGTAGTTCTGTCCTATGTGGCAATTTGTTAGCTCCTTCGGGAACTTGCATTAATTTTAGTCTTTGTAAGTGGCGTAGTTTTGAAAAGCTTTTTTTTGTTTAAATGGCTCCCATTTTCTCAAGGATTGCTGGCATGTAAAGTAAACACATTTTGTACCGTCAAGTTAAATTTAAGTAGTGTATGTAAATGGAATAGTTTTTATCATTTGTGCAAGACTTCTCAAAAAATAAATCAAACATTTTGGGTCTCAATTTTTACAGACAATCGCTTGATCCGTGTACATTGTCGAAATTGTCATCAACAGGTGAATCCAAAATGGCACTAACAATTTTTCCTCAGGACCTCGTTTCCGCTCTCCC